GGTTTCGTTTCGCGATAATGGCTGGCTGGGTAGGCCTTCCGGACCTCCAGGCCTTCCATGTCCGGGCTTATGTTCGTGTCCGTGTCCGTGGCCATTAGGCATTTTATTGTGATCACCTTTCTCTGAGTGTTGATCCTGGTTTGGACAATGATTTTCCTCCTTGCCTCCGAGATTGGGATAGTGACAATGACCGGGCTGGCCGTGATGTCCATCTCCTCTTGAAGGTGGCTTTCCGCCTATCATAGCGCTGTAGCCACTATAAACACCTGTGGCGTTTGCTAAGAGCAAAAATTAGATTGAGATATGAGGACGATTACGATCATACCAGCCCATATCTCCACCAGAACGTTCTCCATTGGTTCGCACGTCGTTACGTCGATGACGGCTATATCGAGAGTCAGAGGGACGCCACTGAGAAAATATATAGGAATGCCGTCGTCAAATATTATGCAAAGACCCACAGTTGACCTTCAGTGAGGTTATTTCTTATCATCTCGTTGTTAATGTAGTATGGGCCCTCCATCGCTTCGGGAGCCAGAACACAGGTTGAGCTGCTCAAGATTAAACTTAACAAGAAATAAATCGAAACCATTTTCGCTTACTTTTCGAAACCCGATGGCTCAAGAACGGCTTGCATTTGGGAGCTCGGAAGGCTTCGCTTAGCCTTACGCCTGAGATTATGGGACGCAATGCTTTCAGCGCAACTTCGGGCTACAAGGTGACGTTTTACAGCAGTTTCCTGGACAATGCGCGGGTGAATTTTCCCATGGGTCGTGCATTACGGTACGTACTTTACGGGCTACGAGCTCTCTGGCAGAGATAGGTTCATGGTTTGGATGACCTGTTATGACATAAAAATTAGTTTAAGCGAAATTGTGCGCGACGATAAGTGAACACACCTATGACCGAGTCGGAGAAGACGATAGCATGGACAACGAGAGACAGCCACAACATCGGGCTAGATACTTAGTGAAGAACGAGAAAGAAAGGAGGAAATGCCAGTAAACGTCATTGAAGCTTATTAAAGTTTATGACCTTCCGAAATTCGGACTCTTTAATGCGCAGTGCGCAGTAGTGTAAAAGGTGAAGCGGAGGCCGGGGCGGCAGGCGCCGAGCACGTTCTCTGAGGGTCAAAGCTGTTGATATCAACCTAGAATGGATAGAAGAACTCGTCTTGAATGAAGTTGCAGTAGTACACTGTCACAGCTAGTACATGATGAGGTAGCAGGTATAGGAAAATTGTTAGCAAAGAAGCCAGAGAGCCTAATGAATGAACGCAGTCATAAATACGGCGATTGTACACACAACGGCGCATACAAAAAAACCGCAAGGGTAGCCAGAAGGATGCCCCTCCACACTTGCGGACCATAGCTGGTATTGAATTAGAGGGCTTCGCATAAAGCTTATGAAGAGACCATACCCAACCACCTAAAACAGGTCCTACACATCGTGCAAGGCTTACAATAGTTTGGGCTAAACCGTTGGCGTACCCAACGGCTTCCGGTGGGGTCACTATGAAAAAACGACATCAGTTAAGAGGCGTTGAATCATTCAAAACGCACTGTAATTCAAAAGTACAGATATAGAGGTGAATGCAAAGGTCATTCCGCAATAACGAACAGCCCTGATGGCTCATATCAGAATGTGAATGGAGATCATGATTTGACTTTGCGTACGTGCTTATTGTAAGGGCTGAATTCTCGGAATTCATCAGACTCTACAATCACAGCCAGGAGTCAATCTCACCACTCATCAGTGCTAATTTATTCGAATATTCCGGCAGTGCGAAGGGCGCCCGGTATAACACGACTGTTAAATATGCCGGTATGAAGAGGAAAGTGCCCAGACGATACATAGTCAAATGAGAAAGTCGACCTCTCGGAGGGCTGAAAAAGAAATGTTTATTTCCGATGAAAGGGGTGAAAGGATCATATACGGACCCGATAATTCTAGAGACAATTTACTTCTTCAGTAAGTGAACGATGAGCACAGGAGAAACTCACGGGTACAGATAGAACTGATATACAATCTGCAAAAGTCCCATTAGAGCAACTAGGGGGACTAGATCAATACAATTGTGATTGATTCAAACGTCAAGCCAGCGTACTTAATTGCGCAAAATCTCCCGCGCTGAGACTAAGCCCGCCTGCATTATAATCACTGCCGAAAGCTTTCCTTAGTGTACGTTTGAAGCCCTGGGAGTACCTCACTCGCCTGACTAAATAGGACATGAATACTTGATCGTGTGTTGTTGTGTGCAGCGCCAGTAATCCGAATTGGATGATCACGGATAATGGAAGCGGCGGAGATGGAGAAGGGCCTATCAGCGGAGTGGTCTCCTGTTCATCGAGACGCATTGCGGAGGGTTGCCTCGTTTCGAGGATAGGCAGTAATTCCCGTTCAAGATCAGTCATCAGGTCAGTTTCAGAGTAGATGGGATTTTCCAACACAGAATGAGGCGTGCTGACTCCAGAGTTCATGAAGATGGACGGGATTTGTCGAGGAGTGGTGCAAGTGATATGGCTGACTTGATGAACATTGGCGCAAACTTCGAAGGAAACATCCATGGGCCTAGTAGTTGAGATACAGCGAGATGTTCGACGCTGAGAAGCAGCCAAGATGTTATTCGACCTTTGGTTCCGAGTTGCAAAAGCAGGACATGGAGTACAATCATCCCATCTTGAATCCACGCGTCCTCTGGTATCGTGTTCGTCACCTCCTAAACCCTCTTCGAGATCATGAAATTCTGGTTCAGAGTTATCAGGTTGCGTTTGTTCGAGTCCTCGAGTCCCAATTTCGTTGCTTTCTTCAACGTTTAGGGCAGCGGCGACCCAGAGATCGGCAATGCTATTGACGGCGTTCTCGTTTGCTAACACTACCCTTTCCACTATACTGCGGGTATCTGATATATCATTGGCGTCTTGATATTCACGGGAATCAAAGAATTTAGAAGCCGACGAGTTCTCACTGAGATCCGTGTAGAAAAACGGGAGGCTAGCTACTGCCTGACGATGCAAAGGACCGGAAGTCCGGCCAGACGTGGCATGATGACTTCTGGTATTGGATCTCGAGCTTGACACCGTGGATGTTCGAGGGCCTATTGGAATTCCGGAAGAAATTGGAACGTAATGAAGGGAACGATCTTGTACAGGTGATTCCAGCCTGTTCGCTGTCGGTAAAAATTCCGAAGACATGTTCCGTGGAAGTGTTCTGTTCGAATTTTGGGGCGCTTGTTCCTCAGAGGTCGGTTTATGAAATTCGGACTTTTCTGGATGGAACAGGACTGTAGTCGCTGTTGTCCCACCATCGCGGCCAAGGAAGCATGCCAAAAATGATCCTAGGTACCCGAAAACAATGAAGGCATAAATGTAGACAACGATTGAGTACACTGACCGGCAAAAAGAATCAACCCTGCAAGTGTTGTAGGAAGAAGATACGGAAATCGGTTCAAAACCTTCCACTGCTGAAATACGGGCCACCTCTCAGCTGGGCGCTCAACTGTGAAGCGTGAATTAGAAATGTGCAAGACAAAAACTGGATCATATATTTGTTTCGACTTACATGTACCTCCGATAATTGGACCCAGAAGACCACCGGACCCCCAACAAAAGCTATGGCATCAAATAACTTCAGCCAGGCCCTCGGAAGAAACAGCAAAGAGACTTTACCCAAGAATAGCGTATGCTCTACCTTCATTTGAACTATCGGTGATAAGTACCACAGACCCTCTTGCCACACCGACTGCGCCCGCGAAAATACCTTGCACAAGGCGAATGCATATCGCTTGTCCAATAGTTTCAGATAGCCCAAAAGCAGTTACAGAAAGCGCACTTCCAAACAGAGCAACGACAAGCACGAATCGACGACCGTATCTCTCAGCAAGAGTTGCCTAGACGCGCCGAGAAGAGAATGATTAGTGCAACTTGGTAGATGATGTGCTCTAGGATGGCCTGAGTACCTACCCAAAGTAAAGAGGTCAGGAACTGACTGAGAAAAAACATTGCCACTGTTATTATTGGCATTAGAGATGAAAAGAAGGATAAAATTAGAGTGATTTACCTAAGATTCCAGTCCAGAACGCGGCGTCTGCTTCATCTGAAAACCCAAAGTCTGTACGAAAAAGGATGATGAACAGGAGATGATTTCGAGTGGGAGTAAACAAAGTGTACCTTTCACCATAAAGATCAAGAACGGCACCGAGACATTCGAGGAGAGAAACTCTCCAAGCATAACCTGTATCAGAGGTGAGTGAGCTGTCGTTCAAGCTTTGTCAATGGAAACATACAGTTGAGAGAACCAACATTGGCAACATTGGCAAAGGTGTACTTGCGTTTTCTGTACATGGAGGTAACACACTGGGAACTGGAAGTGGTGGCATTGACGCCTCAGCATCGCCGTTTGCTCCAGTCATTGTCTCTTGAGAAGGTGGAAATATCTCCTGTGGAGGGGACTTGAGAGACATTCGTTGGAGTGTTTACTTCGATGCTACAAAGTAGGCAAGCGCGAAAGGTGAACAAAGTGAACGAGTAAGTCCACGGAAGCAGCTTTTTTATTCGTACGCACCCATGATGGAACTGAAGCGGCCCTCGAGAAAATCCAAAGCCTGTGGTTCCATATGACAGTCCGCATTCGCAGATGCTAGTACCGTAAAGAAGCAGCTTGAAAAGTCGGGAACAACAACCTCCTACTCCTTATCTCATCAGTTCCAATCTTCTGAGAGATATCCGCCATAAGTCCTGGACTGGCACCTGTAAGTACACTAGGCGGTGGATAGTGACAGCTATGCACCGACATTCGCGTCAGAACGCTGAGCGAATTTTGCCGTACGTGAAATCAAGTTCCTGAGCTCGGATAGAGAGCAGGTATTTTTAGTACTTGCGAGCTTTGAGTCGAACAGCTATATTACCTCAACGCCGTTGGGTAGCTAGAGCAAAGTAGTGATGATAAGCATAGAGAAAACTATAACATGTTAGAAATTTTCTGGCTGGCTAGTTTTGGTGTCCTTCTTAGCTCAGTTGGTAGAGCGCGTCACTAGTAGCAATAAACTACTTATGACGAGGTCAGTCGTTCAAGTCGGCTAGAAGGAAGTGCTTTTTGCGTCTTATTTTCAGTGATAGAATCATTTGAGGGGGACTCTGGGACGACCTAATTAATCTTTCACCTTTCGCGACCTCGTTTGGGTAGAAGCTTTGCAGAATACTAACAGTACAGTCTGAATTGTTTTTGAGAGCTTTCTGAAACATGTCTTTGCGTGTGTCAACTGCAATTACGGCTTGTGCTCCTTTAATGTACTGCATCGATTGAAATATGAGTATATATAGCACCACTAGGCCAAAATTGACGGCAAATTTGTCAATCTGGAGCGTATTGATACCTAATCCTACAATCAAACCGTTTCTCCCGCTCTTAGATCCTTCAAAGTATGATAGCCCGTCAACACTGCATTGATAAAGACTGTTGCTAGTGGTGGTGAGGTTTCTTCCACTGTAGCATTGACCGGAGCAACAACTCGAGCGTATACCACTAAATGTGGTCATATGTAGCACACGAACCAAGACCGTGCAGCAAGTATTGTGTACAGACATTGTTCATATTGTTGGAACATACTGGACAGCTAGAAGAAAGGGAGGAACGGACTCCGAGCATGAATAACGACGTATTGGTTCAGAGTTCAAATAGTTATGGAATGGTGACGGTACGGATGCACCGACTCACCACCTGAACGCCGATATCGATATGAGGCGATGTCAGACGTTGTGAGATAGTCAGGCGACATACCTTCATGGCCCATTGTGAAGCTGGCCAAACGATTTAGTCAGTGAGTATTATAATCTTTCTTGAAACAGGGTACATCATCATAGTATAACATATCAGTGACACATTCCCGTAGCCAGGATCCTTTCACCAAAACTGTTATCACAGTCAGCACAATTACTGTAATTCAAGAAGCTCCTCTATGGACACTTAACCTTCATTGCCAGCAGATTTATGGATTGTGACTTCAGCTTTTATTAATGCATTTGCGCCTGGATATCATCGATAGGCAATCATTTGTCCCTATAAGTTAGACATCAAATAAGATGTTATCGTATACTCTAGATGAGCGTAGTGATTGTGGCTCAATGGGAGGCATGTAAGGCTTGTTGGCGTGCGAAGCAGTTTGGGAGGTATGAACTGTGCCGGCGGCGGTTTAGAGGTTGTGTACACGCAGATCACCGAAAATTTAAGTCACTCCGCGCCGAATGATTGGTAACGAGGTCCTAACTTTCAAGAAACTTTAGCAAGAGCATACCAGATTGACCCAGAACAGTCAAATGAGCTCGCATCAGAAAACGATTTTAACACTCGTGTTCCAGGCAAAATAGCGTGACGAACTTCATGCAACATGCACGTACTCTATTCGGATTTTGTCCTTTTTTGATGTCACTTATATAACCCTAGTTTTTTTTACACCGTCGACCGTCCCGGCTCGAATGGAAGGCAGTGCCCTTGTAAGTTGTAACATTCAAGAGACGTCTTGATGAGATGGTGAGATGCAAAAAGAAATGACGCTTGAATTCTGGAACCACTCACCACTCGGCACTCTCGACTCCCTCGGAACACTCTCTCTGACTTCTACGCAATCTCAACACAAACGGAGTTTCAAAGGTTAAAGCTTGAAGATACGTCCTCCCTCGTAGAATCTCCCCCCTCATCCGTTCTGGAAGTCAATCTCCTACAAAGTTAATTGCTCTCCGACGAATGCACGCTGTACAAGATGCTATGTATTTGCTACGTTTTGAGTGGCCAGCATTGCTATTGACTTCGAGTTGGAGTTAGCATATCCTGTTCTTAGATACTTGCTTCCCTGACTTTTTCACGGCTTTTGTGTTTGAATCATGCAGTTACTATTCACATACAAACATCAGTGCTCTAGAAGGTTTCAACTACATATCGAGTTTCGGATTTTTGGGATACCGCCTGCGGGGTGTCGGAGCCAAAGGCTACATACATATACGCGACAACCATGTCCATATTGGTCGCGACGGAGATCTTGATTGTGTACCCGCACTGCCAGTGCAAGTACGTTGTCGAGTAAGTTCAACGTTATCATTTCTTCAGAAGAAATTCAACCATTCATGATTAATACCGCAAATACCTCCTTCTTACACCAACAGAACCTCTGAACAGACAAAGGTACCCAAGATCGCTCATAAAGCTGAACATTTTCGCAAAACCATCATCTTTTTTGCTCAAATCGCGAATACCGAAGATACCTCGCCGAAAACATACAACTACACCAGACAAAACTTCGCTTCTTCACTCTAACACATGGCCATCTGTCTTCGTGCTTTTCGCCTTCTCATATCAAGCCAATCGGAAATTATCCAAGACGGCGCAGTCGTTGTAGGAGGCGACGTGATAATTTCAGCGGGGGTATGGTCTATAATTCAACCTACCTTGCCCCAGGCTACAAGGATTATAAATCTTGGAGACGTGACTATGATGCCTGGCCTTTTTGACTGCCATGTTCATCTCTTCATGGAACCATCTTCATTCCAAACTACAGACGTTGCCTCTCCCCTTGACGCAGACCTAGTCGTTAGGATGGAGAGTAACTGCCTAAGAGTTCTCGACGCTGGCGTGACTACCGTAAGGGACTTGGGCTGCATTCGAACTCTTTCCACGGAATTGAGGGCGCGCGTTAATGCGGGCTTAACTCAAGGACCCCGGTATGTTCATGTTGCTAATTATACCTATCATCATTCCGAATTCCTTTTGCTCTTTCCATTCATCCTACTGACAGTCTTACTAGTATTCTGTCGGCAAACGCACCTATCACGGTCCCTGGCGGGCATGCCAGTTCCTGGGGAGGTACTGCTTCTGGAGTCGACGGTTGCAGAGCAGAAGCTCAGAAAAGAGTTCAAGAGGTAGGTCACGATTGCGGTGACTTTGGTCACCTTGCTCTTATCGGTATGTGCTTTATTTATCGTTCAACAGGGAGTCGACGTGATCAAGGTCATGACCACGGGTGAGTATTACATCTGACTTGCAATTTTCGCTGCAGCGATTAGTGTGTTAGCTCGGAGTGACAACTCGACTTAAAGTTGTAGTCTTCTACACGCGTATCCTTGCCCACATATTCCTGTACACAGTATCTGACATTTCAAAACATTTTAGGAGGTTTCCTTACGCTCGGTAGTTCTCCTGCAAAGGCGCGATACTCGGTTGAAGAGCTTCGTGTCATTGCGGAAGTAGCCCATACCCATGGAATTCCTGTCACTACCCATGCGACGGGTGTGGAAGGTATTGAACGAGCGATTGATGCAGGTTTCGACTGTATTGAACATTGCTCATGGAGCGTTGGTAATACTTTGACATTGCTATTTATTATCGTTGCTGCTTAATTTTTCTGCGTAGAGGGCGGAACAAAATTCAATGGAGAGATTGCCAAGAAACTGGTTGCACAAAAGGTCACTGTATGTCCGACAATGAATACTGCCTGTATGGAGAAGGATTACTACTGTCCTTGGGATACCCGTGAAAATGTCTTGCAAAACCTTACGAATTTGCGAGAACACGGCGTGCAAATAGTCGTCGGCACGGACAATGGAATTGGTGTGTATAGCGTTTCCTCTTTGAGTCAAGCTGTTTGAGAAATATTCACATTAGTTGGATGCCCATTCGAAAGATATGCTGATGGGCTCTCCGTCCTCATCGAGGCTGGCTATACTCTGCGGGAAGTCATCGCATCTGCGACTGACAAGGCAAGTGAAGTATGCGGTCTATCTTCTGTTACAGGTAAATTACTCCCTGGGATGTCGGCCGACATCGTCGCTTTCGCTGGAAATCCTTTAGAAAATGTCGAATCATTTTCGAAACCCCGCTTTGTGATGGTGAAGTTGAAGAAATATTTTGGGCCTGTTGCTGTGTATTGATACTTTGTTTAGGCACGCGGGAGGGAACACGCTCTTACTCCAATTCCTCCAGTGAATAACGCCAAATTAGCTGCTGATGTTGCTACAAAGCTCAGGAAGGGAGCAGGCCTTTCCATGGTGTAACGATTCGAATCATTTGGCCTTTATGGATAAAGAGGAATAGATATTCTTTGACATAGCGTGTTGCGAAAACAGGGGGAGAAGGTAAAGCACTAGTGGATATAGAACTTCAAAGACGGGTATTGGATGAAATCTAAATCTACGCATTATCATCCACAAAAAATATGGTCCGTGAGTTATTCTGGTCCAATCGTTGAAATCGTTAGTGAGCATTAGCCGCCTCAGCCTAACTTGTAAGCGATGGGAGTGAGATTGTTCGGACACTGTCACCCATTAGGATTACGAGATACTCTTCTCTTCGGAACTCCCGGTAAACTCCCCAGCAAATTCACCTCTCTTCGAGCCGGTATTGATGTCACTAACGGCCCCCCAATTGCGACTTCTTTTAGGATCACCAACTGGTTCGCGGACCAGAAAGAACTTCTCGTCATTGATAGGCCAATCCACTGCTCGAAATCGCTGTAAAGTCCATCAAATCACTATCGCGGATTCCATCTTTTGTGTTGGAAGTAAGAACATCCGAAACGCAGCTAACATTACCTCGGGAACTGAACCTAGGGATTGTGCTGAGTCTGCTGACTACGTCTGGAGAGAAAACAACACCTCGGACACCACCTCCAGACAGTAGCCTAGCCGTGAGAGCGAATAAACTTATAGCCCCGATAGAACTGTTTTATACATGGGAAAGAGCGGATGGAGATTGAGTCTCTTTGAGGCTAAGAGGTTGGCTCGAAATATTCGGCCCCCAAATGATCATTCGGATAGTTGGATTCTTTTGCTGTAGTTAAATTAATGAAATAATCAATCTCTGGATGGTCTGTAGCTCCAGATCATTTAAGCTAACCTTTCAAGAAAAATTTCATGCGAGGTGACAGCCATTTATCTTCACACGAGCCACATGTAGAACCATATTCTCGAGTCACGATATACTGTCCGAGCGATAGGCCTGCGACATCCTCGTTGCTGCTCATCACCTATTCAGAAAGGTCCTCCGCCGTAAGAGAAGCCTGGTCAAACCGCTATGCACCATAAACTGCGTGATCATCTGG